CACAGTGTCTAATATAATTATACCTAGTAGTTTTAGGTACTAATAATAAATTAATTAAGTTTTATTAATAGTTCTAAAATAAGAAACGACACCTTTAGTCTAGATCTGGCGCACCCCAGTGGCACAGCGGTATGTCTGTGGACTTACAACGCTAGAGAGCGGGTTTCGATACCCGTGGTGAGCAGAGCACAGATAGCCTAGTGTGTAGCTTTGTGCTTAATTTCAAACAACAAAAAAACACAAAACAAAAGATCTGGCGACTAATGAATGATACGTTTATGCCTGTAGCGTGTTCAGATTTACTTATGGGCAGGGGCATTTTTTCAGTTCCTCCGGTCTGTAAATCGAAGCAGAAGGTTTACGGAGCGGTACTCGACGAGCCTGTTACTATTTACTGTGACGTCGATGCAGAACCGCCCGAAGTAAAGTTTCGATGGTCGTTCAATGGCTCCAAAGATGCTGAGGACACATTGACTTTCGAAAGTAATTTAACAAGTAGCCTAGCCACATACATCCCAAAACAACAACACCAGTATGTCGTCTTGCTTTGCTGGGCTGAAAATGAAGTGGGACCTCAGAAGGATCCATGTGTTTATAAGATTATCCCATCAGGTGAGTAACATACAACGATCGTTTATATTTAAAACTCAGTAATGGATCTGTAACTATTTGTGTTTGTGATATGAAATATCAGGTGTGGCCCAGAAAAGTACAAAATCTGGTGATTACCACACAACGATGAATAATGATGAAAGTTTATGTTCCCATAATCACTTTTCACACCACATGTTCAACGTAGGCTCCACGTTTACTGATAACAGTCTGCACTGGGACTGCCATATTGTTAATCACTTCGGGGGATGTTTGTAGGGGGCTGTTCCGAATCTTCCGGCAGATATTGTCCTTGAGCTCATTAATAGTCCGAAGCTTGTAGCTAGCATAAATTCTGTCTTTTAGATACCCCCATAAAAAGAAGTATGGAGGAGACAAATCAGGTGAATATGGAATCCGTTACACATCCTCATAAAGAGAAATCAGTTATTGTTAACCAGGTTAACTATCATCAAATGATAGAAGAATTTTACATTCCTGAACTATGCAAACGGTCTTGGCGAAAAAATGGAGGTATTCGTATGAGAATACAATGGTTCCAGCAGGACTGGGTAACACCTCATACAGCCAGAGAAACAAGGTGTTACCTTCGTGAAAAATTCCCAGACCCTTCTTTGTGACGTGGTTTTAATTTATAAGTCACTTGTGGACTGAATAATCGTTATTTGACAAACGTTTATTTGAGTCATTTAGCTGAAGTGTAAGAAACGAAAATTATTCCAAGATCACCTGAAGAAAATTGAAATTACGTTAAGTTTTTCTTGTTTATTTATTGAAATCAGTCAGTTACAAAATTGATATAAAGAGTAACACATGTTATGTTAGTTACTGTGCTTCTAATCTCATGAAAGAACAATTAGAAATTATTTACACATCAAGAAGTGTATTCTACTAAGTTAGAAGTTAGTGAGCTAATTTACTGAAACACAGAAGCTTGTGAGATGTGAATAAATTAATCCATAGATTTAATGAAAATGTTAGTTTAAGCAATATATTTCCTAGGGTAGTTTGCTGCAAGGGCTATATTTATATACATCCGAAATAAACATTTCCACATAAAACGGTTTTGAATTTGTACTCAGAATCATTAATAGAAACAATGCTGAAATACAACTGTCTAATTTAGCTACTGTTAAATCTGGAAAAGGGTTTTGTTTTTAGCCATATAAGTATCTATAAGTATCAAATTTCTTAATGATAATTAATTATACATACAATTGAATATAACGATTTCGTTTAAAAAAAAACAGTGTAAACACTGCATTCTTTTTTTAAATGTCTTTCTTCACGATTCTTAAAATTTCAGTTTCGTTATTGAGTTAATAGTAAAGGGTTGGGGAACAGGCCCCATAGTAACTTAAGTTTTATAAAAAGTGTGTAAACAAATTTTTAAGCATAAAGCCAATCACTTAATTAGTTAAAAGTTGAATGCATTAAAGAAATGGGAAATTCAAACACATTGTACGGGAAACATGACCGCTTTGTTCAACATTTATCATCGCTCGAAGAAATAGGCTCTTAAAACAGTTTCTGCTTACGAGATTTTATACTTAAGACAAAACAGTAGCAAATAATGAACTCCTTGTAATCTTTAATCGTTGTAAGGCAATTTTTGGTAAAAGTTTTATTAAATGTCTTACGCAAATCGGTAAAACAGAGCTGAGTTACAACATCTTTAACGTTCGTGCACTTAGAGATGGAATGAAAATTTCAGCCTTTATTACGTAAACTTGAGACGAAGCTGTTCGTATACAATATTATTATTATACGTATGATAATATGAGAAAAAAGGGATATAACAGTAAAGTATTAAAACGACCTATAGTGAATAAAATTGTCATTTACTCACTTTTAAATCATTTAGAATGATATAATTCTCTTGGTTTCAAAGTATTCAGAAAAAACTAGAATCGTAATTTTTGACGAATATTATTTCACACATTGCCATGTCCTTTTTATAACGTTTTGTTTAGACAAAGATCATTTGGATTTTTGCTTGACAAAGATGATGATTAATAGTGATGACGGTTTATAGAAGCTCTGAAACTAAGTATTTTGTGAAAATAAGATAGAAGAGATAATGTTTATAAAAAATAATCAAATGTAAAGCTTAAATATTCTTCTAACTTTCAAAAATTTGTGCGATCAATATATAAAGTATTGGAGCTTTGCAAAATTAGATGATCTAATTTTGTACAAGACATTTTTGCGAAAGACAAACCTAAGTTATAGGCTTAATGTGCCATAAGTTCTAAATAAAACAAATATATGTTGATTACCATAACTTGTATTTAAAATCTGTACTACTACGAAAGCGTTAAAATATTTATTTTTGGCTGAAAAAAACACTTGCCCTTTTATAGTTTTTAAGAGCATTTTGTTCTTACTGTTTGATATTAAAGTACAGTTTATGTGAAAGGATAATTTAAATTTAATTTTGTAACTAAGAAATTATGAAAATGTTCTTTTTTAGGGTAACGTAATAATTCTCTTTCTAAAAAGATGTTTCAGAAAAAGGTGTGATAGTCGAAAGAAATTAAATCGTGATTCGATCAAGAAATGAAAACCACATAGATCATGTGCGTGCACTAATTTCACCATCGATAATAGAAAATTGTATGTTTGTCTCACATAGATCAAGTGTGTGTGCACTAATTTCACCATCGATAATAGAAGATTGTATGTTTGTCTCAATCAAGAAGTCGTCAAACAAAAAACTCGTCACAAACACTTGTACGAGAAAGGTACCACAAAATTTCACTTACAGGAATATCCCTAACAGGACCGCGTTATGATTGCCTCTTTTTTTTTTTCTTTCTCGACCTTGCGTTGAAATGGTATGAGTCATCTGTTTTTCAAGACAGTATATAAACATACAAATGACAATATATCAATATAAATGCCAAACGTTTAGATAAATTATGGCGAAACAAATTGCAGGTTATGTTAAATTTTAACCCTCTATTGCACATTACAAGTAAGGTAACAAATCTATCATTGTTGCTTAACACACATTGAAATGTTTCAATTCTTTAGTTGAATATTCTTACTTTCAGGTGGCTGTCTAAATAAACCACGGGATTGTTTTTGTTGGTTCCTCAGTTGAACAATGGTACTTTTAGATAACGTACCCACTTTTAACTTACCCAAATATATTTTACAAAAATATTTTTGTGTAATATAGACCTATTTAAGTAGGAAATTCAAGGAAAACTTTTTCTTCTGTATTTTCGCAATATGGAGTTTAGATAGTTCTTTTTAATAATCAGATATATCATTCTGAATAAACGAAAACCTTTTATGAAATTAAAAGTAGTTTAGTAGCTGATCCTAATTATTTGAATTCTGACCTCAGTCTGTAAAATTATCTTCAATATGGTAGCTCTGCATCATTAACCCTTGCTAAAACGTTAAACTAATGAGAATGTACAACTACGTCAAATATATTCCACTTAGTAAGGGATCTAAATTTATCATGTTGTTACTTGTCTCTGTATTGGTATACCAAAGCTGTATTGGGTCCACCAAAGCTATAAGCTACATTTGATGTCATTAATGCAGGAAATATCCATTTTACATTTTAGTTTTTTGTTTGTCAGATTTGTCTATTTTACTTTGTTTTGGGGTTATCCACTGTGTCCACCGCGGGGAATATAACTTCGGATTTTAACGTTGTAAGTCCGTCAACTTAACGCTAACCCACCGTGGGATCCATTGTTCATTTGGAATGTCTTGAAGTTAACAATATCAATGTCACATAAAAGGTGGACAAGTTATTTTTAACATAAACATTTTATTGTATTCTATAGATTTTAACTTTTATATTGGATTTTAATAATAATTATTATTAGAGATAATGAGACAGAGTTATAACGTAGTCTAGTCCTCAACATTTCTGTAAGGGAAAGTTCTCGCCCGAGAGTCACAAACATGTTTAAATGACTTATACAGTTATTTTAAAACAAAATAGTATGAACATAAGAAACTTGCCGTCTAACAGAAGTGTCATTAAATAGTGTCTCACTGGCGTTCATTCATTAGGAAAAAAATATATATTTGTGCTTATAGTGTACTTTAAGACTGTTTTGTGTAGTTATTAATATTAACTCCCGATCAAAGAAGGCTTTCTAAAATATACCCAGTAATCAGCATAGCTAATTAAATATACTATTAAAACGGTATTACTTATAATTATTAGAATGCATTTTATTTCAGTTTGGTAGTCTTGCTGTTAACGATATTTTTGGTCATAAACCCAATAATATCTTATAAGGTTCGATATTCCAGGAGGATTAGGTTATTTATAAATCTATATACTAAGCTAATAATGCAGAATAATCATTGTAATTAACGTTAGTGAATTATAGAATAATAATTATAATACATAATAAACATAAAACATAAAATATGCGATAATAAAAATTTTGTTTGTTGTTAACCATAAAGGTACACAATAGGCTATCCGTGCTGTGCCCACTGTGGATATCGAAACCTGATCTTTAGCATTATAAGCCCTCAGACTTGCTGCTTAGCCACCGAGGGGCATAAATAAATGTTTATATGTTAAATATTCCAACCAACAATTTCTTTCCAAGTAAGAACTACCTCACTGTGGTAAAATTAATGATGTTAGAAAAACACGTAGGTTCAAGAAGTCTTGATAGAAATGGGTAAAAAACCTTATACCCCACCCGCTTTCGAAAGGTGGACCTTTCTTCTTCATAGGTTTATAGGGTTTTTACTCATGATTGTGGTAAAAGTTATACTTGGCACGACTAGCTTAGTAGATTTAAGTTAGTCCTAAATACATGAACTATACCTTGACAATGGAAATGATCTTTGTAATAAAATATAAAACAAAAATTAGTTTTGTTTGTTTGTAATTAAGAACAAAGGTACACAATAGGCTATCTGTGCGCTGCACACCACAGGTATCGAAACCCGGCTTTTAGCATTGTGAGTCCGAAGATATACTGATGTACCACTGGGGTGGGGGCATCAAAATTAGTTGTAATAAGAGAGAACTATGGTCATGTGCATGAACTATCTGACACATATATATGTTAAAAGTTGCTGTTTTTATAAATTTGCCCAAAAGTCATTGCAATAATGATGAGTCTTTAAGAGACAATCATGTAACTGCTATTAAGTCGTCAAGACACAGTCATTGAAATAATGACGAGTCCTTAAGAGACAATCATGTAACTGCTATTAAGTCGTCAAGACACAGTCATTGAAATAATGACGAGTCCTTAAGAGACAATCATGTAACTGCTATTAAGTCGTCAAGACACAGTCATTGAAATAATGACGAGTCCTTAAGAGACAGTCTTGTAACTGCTATTAAGTGGTCAACTGACAAACCACTTATAACTATTTGTGAGTCGTCAGAAGACAATTCTGTGATTACCGTTGAGTCGTCAAGAAATTACCATTAAATTACAATTACGTTGTGAAGAAGCAATACTGGATTACAACGATTTGGGTTTTATTAATCTTATTAACTTGTATTTATAACATTTGAAGATAACTTTCATTAACTAGACAGTGTAGCTGTCTTATTGTACTCATTTATAAAAGCAACACAACACTTTTATTGGTCAGTTCAGTGTCATAATTCTGATGGGAAAGTGGAACACGCTGACGATCGACTTTAGCCACCACCTTCTCAAACACAAGAGCAAAGTAAATAGCTGAAAGTAAATTAAACTGTTTTGCTAAAAAAAAGCAACCACGTCACTTCGTTGATATATATAGTTACTTACGGTATGTTCTATATAATGGTTAGTGTGTGTGGTCTATGAATACGAAAGTTCATGGTTTGTACTTTGGGGTTGTGGGTGCGTAATAAGATGGACAATCATATCCAATTATTTTATCAGACAAAAATAGTCCAAGATTTAAGTACTATTCGCTAACTGTCTCCTCTCTAGTCTATCAGTTCAAACTTAGAGATGGTTATGCTCAGATAGTCTTTGTGTACCTTTGGGCAAACATTTATATAGTGGAGCTCACGTAATGATTGTGAAGGTTAGAATTTTATATCAAACAAAAAACAAAGAAGAGAAAGCTGAAGTCTAGGTATTAAGATATTTGTAACATTTTCTATCGTTGGGCTGGTTCTTTTGGATAATTTTATGAAAATAAGGTGAATTTCAGTCTACGTAACGATAGCAGATAAGTTTCTTTCTTCCTTAACGTTTGCTACAGGTTAATTTCACTTGTGTACAGTTGTAGGGCCCTAAGTTCACAAATAACATTTTCACTTTCAACAAGAATTCCGAGACTATGGTAAATGCGCCTAATTTACTTAGCTATGCATGATTGATAAACAACTCCCCAAGTAACTGAATGGCAAAATATATGCGATAACATTGAATAACTTTTCTGAAGCTGAAGTAACTTCTTATTAGCAAGGAACTTATTGAATTCTTCACAAAATTCATATTCATTACTCAATAAAATTTTCAATAAATACTTCATTAACTTCTCATTCACTAATTTCTCATACTTGTAAATAATGTATCCTTATCTGGATAGTAGTCGAAATTACTAAATTCTTGACATCATCGTAATGACGAGCTCCCTCTAGAAACAACTAAATAATAACATTGAAAATATAATTTATAATAATTTTCATAAATAATACCGCATGTTTATTATAACAGACGTAACTAAACACAGTTTCTAGAATTGAACACTTCCTGTTTGATCTTGATTGCACAGACATATTCAGCAATAGTTTGGTGATTATCCTACACATTAACATGTATTGTGTTTTGTAACAATATATATTCATGTTGCTTTTTGAAAACTTTTATTGTTACTTAATAGTTTGGTTATGAATTCATTATTCATTTTACCGATCGTTTATATTACAAGTTAAAGTAGATATACAAATACGTTAATTGTAGGTTTTTTTCCCCAGAGTACGTTAAAATGTAACTTTTAAATTCAGAATAGCACTATGAAATAAATTCAGTTTATTATTTGCTGATTAATGGCTATAAGTAATTTATACTACAAACATGTGCAAACTGTTGTTTTAAAAGGTTGTACGGGAGAAATAACAGACGTGACTATATCACAAATACTTTTCTTTGTGATACGACTTTGCGAAAGAAAAAATAGAAAAACAAACTGAAATATTTGTTTAAAACTAATAAGGAAATTTTGGTAGATGTATTACTATTATTACTCAAGAACATACAAACTGAAATATTTGTTTAAAACTAATAAGGAAATTTTGGTAGATGTATTACTATTATTACTCAAGAACATACACAGCCTACCTGACACAAAACATTCCTGTGAATTTTATCAAATAAATATATATTTAACCTTGAACATAAAGATTACTGACATAATAATGAATATGAACATATATGTTATTAGATGAATAGTTTACATAAAACGTAGAAATGGATCTTACAACATTACAGAATGTATTTGAAAAATATTTCAAACATATATCGGAAGACGTTTCAGGTAGATAGTCCCCTATCAGGTGTAACAGCAATTGATTAGTTTCAGGTAGATAGCCCCTATCAGGTTTAACAGCAGTTGATTAGTTTCAGGTAGATAGCCCCTATCAGGTGTAACAGCAATTGATTAGTTTCAGGTAGATAGCCCCTATCAGGTTTAACAGCAATTGATTAGTTTCAGGTAGATAGCCCCTATCAGGTTTAACAGCAATTGATTAGTTTCAGGTAGATAGCCCCTATCAGGTTTAACAGCAATTGATTAGTTTCAGGTATATAGCCCTTATCAGGTTTAACAGTAGTTGATTACGTTTAACAGCTCTAACCAAAACGTTCGCTTGAGATTTTGTTTTAGATAGAAACATTTTTGATGTAAATGAAAAGGTTATTTGTTGTTTATTTTATAAGATACATTTTGTGCCACATCAAAGATTATAGTCATCAAAACATAATAAACGTAAATATCCAAATAGCACTTACTAAGACTTTTTGCGTTCTTTTCTGGAAGTATTTTGGTTAATAAAATAAGATATTTGGATGATTAGTTCAGTAGAGCAGGTTGAACTAAGTTGTTGAGACGTAGTTATACAGATATATTTTAGTTTGCAACTGAAGCAGCAAACTGCGTGCTGAGCTTAACGTAGCCGTCCAATCAAATTAATTTAAGATGTTGAATAAGGCCAATGACGAAAGAACTTATTGTATAAGACGGAGCTTAACTAAGCTGTTTCAGTTTATAATTCGCTGCATACGTTATAAAATAAAATACATTTGCACTTTTAATTATAACTTAGTGAGTCTGAGTTATGATTCACTATTACAAATATTCCACCACTAAGCATGTTCCTAATCGCAGCAGTGCGACATAATTTACAACAAAAGATTTACATCTCAACATGAAAAAGAGTCGGAATTCAAATGTTCGCGTTTTAATAAAAGCACTATAATGCAATAAAGCTTTCATTGTTATAAAAATCATCTATACCGCAATAGAGAGAAAGGAATTCATTAAGTTTGTTCGATCATAATAAGTATGAACAAGAACGATAACACCAAAGAAACTGTTTGTGATTGTCTTAAAAATCTTATGCTCTATTGGTTTAAAAAGATAACTATTTCACCTGTCTATCTCTTAATTTCCGTAGACGTGTTTGATTATTTAAAAAAGCCTAAACATATATGTTTAAATGAACTTAAAGTGTTCGTAATAATAAGTAATAATTTTTTTGGGGGGTCAAGATAACAGAAAGGTCACGAAAAAATTATTATATGTTAACGTGAGGACCAATTTCTTACACTATGTTTGCTTTATAACTCATTCAGAAATGATCGGATTCTGATAGAATTCGGTGGACACATGTAGAATATTATTTTCCATTGTTCTAACAAACACAGTCCATGTCCGTTGATGTTCTTATTTTGGGAGAGCCGAATATGATCAACGCTGCATGGTGGAGGTATGCGCTCTACTGAGTGTCCTCTAGTTTTGAATTGTGAACGAAAGAGGAGGCAACCAGTCGGCGAGACCCGCCACTTGAATCGGCTACTATTAACCGAACAGTGGGATATTGACTGTCACTCTTACATCGCATCAACACCTGAACGTATGAAATGTATTTGGTAACACCACGCCTCGAACCTGAGATCTTAGGATTCCCAATCCGATTCGCTATTCACTGGGCCACATTCGGGCCAAACAATTGTTATGAAATACAAATGTTATTCCCGAGGTAGATTCTCGGTATATAAATATCTGCGTAAATAATTTTTACTAAAAAGAGTTTCATTTCTGAATCCAAACTAGATATAAAGATCGGCCAAACTCAACAAATGTAAATAAAGAAATTCTTCTTTTTAACTGTGTTCCACCACTCTAAAACTGTATGTAAAACATGTCTAAATATCATACGTACGTAGATGCAGTAATAATCTTTCTAGTAGACAAGGGCCATTATAAACTCTCTAAGAAACTTTTGTCTTGCACAACAAAAACAAAACAGAGACAACAACGTAAAGTTTCAATGAAGTGTATATACTTTTTCAGATGTTCCAAAAAAGCCTCTTAGCTGTACCGTTAACAACAGGACTACAGGCACTTTAGAAGTAGCATGCCCGGAGGGATACAGTGGTCGCTTTAAACAGCAATTCATCTTTGAAGTTTACAATACAGCTTTAAAAAAGCTGGAGAAAAATGTTACGTCCTTTGACCCTTTCTTTACTGCTCACGATCTTCCACCTGGAACGCTGTTTTTAATCTCTGTGTATTCATTTGATCAGAAAGGTAAAACAGACAACTGGACAACTGAAGTATCCACTTTATTAAATTCCAACCAATATATTTCAGGTATGTTACAACCATAATTGACTTTAAAACAGCACTTTGTTTTTGCTCTTTGATTGATTATCGTTAAACTATTGGAACTTTAAAACAAAACATTTACGTTGTTGTTAAATTATACTGTTCATCTTGGAGCTAAACATGAAAAAATTATTATCAATTATGATTTTTAATTATTTAACATATCTGTCTTAACGTAAAAGGAATAAAGAACAAATGTGAGAAGGTATCGAAATTCCGACACATTTGACCAACAGAAATCACATTTTTCCTAATTAAAAACCTCTATTCGTTACGTTGATTTTATTATAAGAACTGCAATAATATGTTTGCATTTTGTTCTTAATTTTGTTAATGCTAAATAAAATTTGATTTTAGCGCTAGATCTGTACAAAAGTACTAAATTCAAAATTATAAATAATCTTTAAGCTTCTTACGAATCGTTCGAATATACTTCATTATATTTCTTTTGAAAGGATTATAATAACAATTAAGGCAAGTTAGTGATCCACAAGTATAACAACATAGTAAAAAAAACATTCTTAATATAAGTTTTAACACATAATACAGATGGTATGTGTTATCAACATAATCTATAATAGTACACTTTTGGTATGTGTTATCAAGTGTACTATTATAGATTATGTTCTGGTATGTGTTATCAACATAATCTATAATAATACATTTTTGATATGTGTTATCAACATAATCTATAATAGTACACTTTTGGTATGTGTTATCAACATAGTCTTCAATAGTATACTGTTGGTATGTCTTGAATAGTACACTATTAGTAGGTGTTGACGATGTAATTTTGAATATTACACTATTGGTTAGTGTTATTGATTAAATTTTGATTATTACATTATTGGTTAGTGTTATCAGTGTAGTCTTGAATAGCACACTGTTAGTATGTGTTATCGGTGTAGTCTTGAAATACACTATTTGCAAGTTTTATCGACGTATTTTGAATAGTAGGCTGTTGGTAAGTGTTATTGACGTAGTCTTAAATGATACTCTGTTAGTATGTATGATCGGTGTAGTCTTGAATAGTACATTGCCAGTAAGTGTTATCGATCTGTGTGATATTTTCTCTGTGTAACTAATAAGATACTGTAAATAGTAGAGTTTAACAAATGTGATGAAATTAGTCAATACGTAGCGAATCTGATAGATTATTTCATATATTGTTACGATGTTTTTTTTTCAGTTCCTGAAACATATTGGTTCGAGACACTTAAGCCTGTATTGGTGTATTTTTTTGCCATAACAGGAGGGCTAATTATTATGATTCAAATAATCGTTCTAGGAGTAAAATTGAGAAAGAGACAAAACAACAAAAGAAAATCAGGTACATTCTTGTCATTTAACAAGCTGGAAGCTTGGCATTGTTCATAAGTTTAAGTAAAGGTAGTTAGTTTTGGGTGTCTTTTACTTTAAAGTGAATCCTGATTGAATAACGTTACATATTTTTCAACTGCTTTACAGATGTCGAAAATGTTTTTGCAATTGTGTCCAGAACAAAAATGTATCCTCTGGTATATCAGCGTACTGAAAACAATTATACAACTATGCAACTTGTAACCCTGAGGCTGCTTGCGTTCTTACAAAATAGCCCTAGAATCTCTAGTGTCCTCCTTGTTGTAGGAAATAAGCGTTTTGGGGTAATTTAGCATTACAAGTCTTCCAATTATTAGCACAGGAAATGAAAATCCTTAAAATGAATAGTCATTTGGGTATTTCTAATTGGAAAGTACACGAATTGTAATTCTTTGTCAAGGTGATAAATGAAGGAGAAAATATAAGTAAACATTAACTTTGTTTGGCATGTGTATTCAACTTCTGAAAAACGAATTTTAAATTTTCAAACAGAAAAAGTTCTTTATCGAGAAAGACATTGTGGCTTGTATGCAAATAGGAATTGAACGTTCTGTTTAGTGTTAAAATATTTAAGATGAATAAGGACCAAGTGCTAATTTCAACTGGAATGGGCATGTAGATAGTATACTAAGACATGTAGATAGTATACTCAGACATGTAGATAGTATACTCAGACTTGTAGGTATTATACTCAGGCATGTAGATAGTATACTCAGACTTGTAGATAGTATACTAAGACATGTAGATAGTATACTCAGACATGTAGATAGTATACTAAGACATGTAGATAGTATACTCAGACGTGTAGGTATTATACTCAGGTGTGAGGTAGTACACTCAGACATGTAGATAGTATACTCAGACTTGTAGGTAGTATACTCAGGCGTGTGGTTAGTATACTTAGGCGTGTGGGTAGTACACTCAGGCGTGTAAGTAGTATATTCAGGAATCTATATAGTATACTCAGGCATGTAAGTAGTACATTCAGGAATGTAGGTAGTATACTCGGGTATGTAGGTAGTACATTCAGGAATCTATATAGTATACTCATGCATGTAGGTGGTATATTGATGAATCTAGGTAGTGTAAGTAGTACATTCAGGCATCTAAGTAGTATATTCAGGCATTTAGATAGTATACTAAGACATGTAGATAGTATACTCAGACGTGTAGGTATTATATTCAGGCGTGAGGTAGTACCTTCAGGCATGTAGATAGTATACTCAGACGTGTAGGTATTATATTCAGGCGTGAGGTAGTACCTTCAGGCATGTAGATAGTATACTAAGACTTGTAGGTGTTATACTCAGGCGTGTAGGTAGTATACCCAGGCATGTAGATAGTATACTCAGGCGTGTAGGTGTTATACTCAGGGATGTAGCTAGTATACCCAGGCATGTAGGTGTTATACTCAGGCGTTTAGGTATTATACTCAGGCATGTAGATAGTATACTCAGACTTGTAGGTGTTATACTCAGGGATGTAGATAGTATACTCAGGGATGTAGGTAGTATACTCAGGCGTGTAGGTATTATACTCAGGAATGTAGATAGTATACTCAGGCGTGTAGGTGTTATACTCAGACTTGTAGGTATTATTCTCAGGCATGTAGATAGTATACTCAGACTTGAAGGTGTTATACTCAGGCGTGTAGGTGTTATACTCAGGCGTGTAGGTGTTATACTCAGGGATGTAGATAGTATACTCAGGCGTGTAGGTCAAGATACACGGTAGTGTATCGTGCGGCCAAAACAACCTGCTGCAGGACACACTGTGTGATATTAACAAGAGTGATAGTTTAGCGATATTCCACCTTCTATATCCCGGACTGTGGTAATCCAAACTAACACATATTTCTAGTGTATGTGCTCTACTGGACTTTTACTTCACATACCAAATTTCAAGGCAACCCATGAAGAAATACCCGATATATAACATCTCTAATTTTGGTTGAGCTTTTTCTTTGCACCAAAAGTACGGAAACTTTATTTGATAGAAAAACATATTTAACTTTTATGGATTTTTTTCAAATTTGATACACAGATAGATCTTTTCAACTTACAATTAGGAGTCTGATTTGGTGTGGTAATATAAACCACAGGTGCAAAGTTATTCAACAAAAACTGCTCAGATTTGACGAAAATTTTTGTCACATGATATTAATTTAAGCAATTAGCATAAATAATGATGCTTGATACGGCTATACCGATTGAATGGGGGTGATGACAATAAACTGTTTATCTAAATTCCATGGTGTTACTATAAAGAACGCTATTAACACTGTTTTAGAGGGGGAAACCACCACCATATATTTTAAAGAATCTGGTTGGTTCTGCAAAGTAAAGGTCTATTCCAAATAATAGGGTTGCGATCCTAAAGCTAATGTGGGTTACCATCTGGTATCATTTTCTTGATTGCTGTGGTTTGTTGGTGCATATTGAAAAAAACAATCATGATATCTAATCAAAAACATCTTAGGTGTGAAAAAAAGTGCGGCCAAAAAAGGACTGAGTGTGCGACTTAAAGAAATGAAATCAAAATTGGCGGCCAAACTAGTAGCTACACTTATAGCATTGATAAGAATTTTACAGCAAATATTCATCCATTAGATAATTAGGCTGCGTATTTTGTTTTTCCCACCATCATGTCCCAAGTTGGACAATAAACGCGGCCTGGGATGAATATTATTCAAATTATTCCATGTGTAGACTGATGATACCTTAGATCAGCGTTTCCCAGGGAGGCAGAACTGATTTTTTTTGGGGGGGGGGGCAAGCTATGGGGTAGGTTTAATAGTGCAATAATGTAAAATTAAGCGTTTTAATAAATTTTTGATAAACAAAAATAATAAGTAATTACTACAGTACATATAAAATCTTAATGTGTATTCGTGTATTACATCTCTTCACTTAAGTCACTCGTGATGTCCTGCAATCGCTTTTTAAATAGATAAATTACTATATCCAATAAGATGTATCATATACGAAATGCATAAATTATATATGCAACATATTAGTAAAATGAAATAATATTATGATTATATATGTTCTTTTAGACAAATAACAAAATTGGACTGAATAGCACTTGCGATGTTTATTTAGCATATCAGCTATATTTAACTGAAATAAAAAATAAATAATTATTTTAATATCTAACTTTTTATTAATCATTTGAAGTTAACAGTAACAATAGGCAGAGAAGATGAGATAGAACACACAATGCATAACGTTCACAGTGCGTTAGTCGAGCTTGAACATATGTGTTGAAAACAATAATTTCAATACTTTCTATGAGACTCTCCAAACCCAACAAAGCATATTGCAAAATTCTAAACTGTTCGTTACTTCTAGTTCATCTTGACTAAATGTATTTTAACTAATACTAATGAAGTGTAAGTTAATGGATTATTCAGTTAGTTTCGAGCTATTTTTTTCATTTTACCTTTTTGATAGAAGATAAAGTAAAACAAGTAAAATGTTTTAATTTAATGCATTCACAAGTATTTTAAATTCGCATTCAGTATTTGTGTGCGTGTTTGATTAAAATCTGACATATGTTTTTACCCACCAGTATTCATACGAAAGGTGGCAGGCTATCCTACGTTGAGAACAATGGGTTGTTACGTTTTAATTTCCTTCAATAAGAGTTCCATGTGGTAGTGTTCATAACCTGTACATCTTGGAGATATGGCTCTTCTACTAGAGTTTCCTCGAATTTACGTTACCATACTTTGAGTAATATTTAATTATCTTTTCTAAGACGTCATACAAATTGGTTAAGGGATAGAATAACCATGTACTTTTCTTTATCAAAGCTGCTGCCAATAATGGAGAGGAAAACAGGTGAGATGTTTTAAAAGTTTGTTTAACAAAATAATTCATTTCACTGAATAGGAAATCTTTACTGGTGAATTAACCCCTGTAGATAAATTAGTGTGTATTTTCCACAGTTATTTGTAACGGAGTGTGACATTTCAGCACAAATATACGACAAACAAATTTATTGACAACTAGTGAAAGTATCCGGCTTCGCTCGAGTTATTAGGTTGATATATTCTGAATGGCTATGTCAGTGTATGTATTCTGAACCCATTCTAGCATAAATATATAACCTATATACTTTTGTTGCTCCTTTATAGAATGTGGCTTGTTTATAAGGGTAACCTTCCCTTTGACTTGTCCTCCGATTTTAAACTTAAATAATAAAAACTAAACCACTTTACCTCTAAATTAGAAAACAACAATTTTTTTCAATTTTGTAGCTTATAAATTTCATTTTATACTTCAGTACATAGCTTCTTAGCAACAATATTGGGTTATACTTTTATTGCTTAGCAATATGATATAAAAAACAACGTTGGAATGCATTGTTACCAAAACGCTCTGGCTTATATATATATATTAAAAGTTGTTATCTAAGGAACCACTTCTTTTTTATGTGGTTTTTCGCTAGATTGCCTCATCAAAAAAATGCACGAACGCACGTATTTGTATGTCTGTCTGTGATTTATATCTATAATTTGTAATATAAAGAACCACTTCTTTGTTATGTGGTTTTTCGCTTGCCTGCCTCATTAAAAAAATGCGCACACATATGGATAAGATAAGTAATAATACCCAGGTACAGACCCTCAGGGTCCACTTAGTATGGGTGGAAATTTTCAGATTTCTAGGTTCTTTCCTCTTGGTGCAAAATTTCAGGTTTATAGGTTCTTTTATTTTGCAGTTATGGCGGTCACACACACATAGACACGCCCTTTTATAATTATAGATGTTATGAGGGCTCTCTACTTGAAACTTTCACTAACAAATTGATATTTCTCTATTTCATGTTAAAAATCCTATTATTCAAATTTATGATTTCTTACCTTTCTTACTTCGCCAAACCTTCTTCAAAGAACTTATCCAGAAATATGCAACGGGTATAGAGTTTGATAGTAAATACTTGATTCCTCAACAACTTCTAGTTACACCAATGAAAGTAAATGTGAAGTTGATGTTTTAATTCCATACAACTAACAGTAAAAACCTGGAATACTAAAACATACATCGTTTGTACTGTCAGTATTCTCAACATGATTATTGACGTGATGTAAGAATACATTGAAATTGAATATAATCTAAATAAATAAAGTAAGCTGTTACATACCTTTAGACTATAAATTTGGTTTTATGTATGCTACAATATTGTTTTCATTATTTTGTGCCACTAATCAAGACATTCTTTATCTGCTATTGATAGTATTTTAAATTTAGAATCTGGAAACTTAGAATTATTATTCTGTATTCTTTATTAGCCTAATGTTATTATTACTGAAAACAAATAGGCTTCTATAAGCAGATTTTTAGTCCAAATTACCTTAAGCAGCTTAATTTGTTTTTGTATTTATTGAAAGTGTTTCCGAGACCAAGCATTCACATTATATTTTTCATGAGATAAAAGACAATATTGGGATGTTATATTATTTCGACATTTACTAAATACTTTTTCATTGCAAAATATTGGTTGATTATGTCCAGTCTTCCATCTAGAAATATTTTGGTCTATTTTGGTTTTGTTTGTGTTTTGTGTCTTACATTATAATGTGAAATAAATTACTTCAAATTAGCTAAAAAGGGCTATACAATGATAATCTTGGGATTGCAATCTCGAGTTTTATTAGCGCTCATCGACCCGTTAGTAATCCAATTAGATTTTAAAGCAGAATCTAAATCTGAAAGTTAAAGGCACTAGATCTATCTGGTAAACAAACAGCCTATAGTATTTGTTTAAAAAAAACTTTATTCAAGTCGTACGGCTTCCACTTTAAAAGATCACGTCAAAACATGTACTTGTAGAGCCTATATTAATGTTATTTGCAATAAAAGATTTTAAACGTAGTAGTTAAAATAAAATCTACTTCAGATTACTGATCAGTCGAAAACCATATCGAACTACATTGATCAACAATCCTTGCTAATTACATATCCATGTGAGATGATCGATATCACAGTGTTTAGCTGATGAAGGAATAAGTTAGTTCACTTGAGCTAATACAGACTCCGATATTACGAAATAATTTTGGTTAATATAAATGTTGATAGATTAAGTAAATGTATATAATATTTTATTAAATCAAATGGTTTAATTCTGATGAAAACTGATAACAACGCATAGACCGTTATATTCAGTCCACTTTCCAATTAATCAATTAATGATATTTAATTATTAACATAAGTACTATATGTAACATCTAATCTCACATAGATATAATCATCTGAATTATTCAGTATTCGTAAATTATAAGTTGAATTCACTTTTTTACATCCAATGTTTTATGGATATGTTGACTGCAAGGAAATATATTTTTTGAAATTGTAATATATTCACTTTTGTTACGAAAACAAAATGAACTTTGTTCTATATATAATTAGGGTTTGTTACATTGGCACTATAGCTGCATTAATCACATAGCCCTCCAGTGGCACAGCGATAAGTCTGAAAGCTTATAACTCGAAAACTGAGCTTCGATACCCCTGTTGAGCACAGCGCGTATAGCCCATTGTGCTTAACTAGAAACAAACCAAACCAAATTAATCATATTACAGGTTCTGTGATTTTATTAGTACCAGTGATGTCGTTTTTCACGTTAAAAGAGCCTTAAAGCATATGTTTGTTAAGGGCTAATAGTGTTTCAAATGCTGATCAGCCAGACATTTACAATATATATATATCACTTCAACTGAACAATACATCCTGGATGGAACAGTCTTTAACTTCAACTTTCAAATTATTGTACTGAATACATTACAGCAGAAGATATCTCTACCATTTTTTTTAAAGTGAGTCATAATTTTAGTTTAAATGCTTTTTGTCTTAAAATATCGTCACAAACATGAAATATATCGGCATGTTTCATTTGGCTGTATTCATATATATCTCATAGTTCTGTGGTGAATTCATGAATACATTAGTAGAACTTGTGTTACCTCCGATGTGTCGTATTCCGGGATGAAAACTTCGCAATATAAAAAACAAAATAAATATATGTCCGCTTTGAACGTGGTAATAGTTCGTCATCTTTCAAAGACAAAGAAGCTGTCATTTGTTTGCCACAGAAGCAAATGTCTTTGATAACAAGTATATCTAAGTGTGTTCCACGTGAAGCAGTGGAGCGGTTTAGAAATTTTGCATTAAATGCTGTATTCATTTATAGGCTGCATAAATATAACGAAAGAGGAAAGATAAAAATTATCTGTTCCAAAACTAAATTAATTTTAAATTCAATTCCCACGGGTAATAGTCATTAATTTACTAAAAAAACAACTTTCTTACATATTCATATATACTTTTCTTATTTTAGCCTACTGCAATGTGACTTTTTTTCTAAGTATGTTAATCAGGAATGCATTAACGTTAATAACAGTCAATACGAGATTATTCGCAATTTAATGAAATGTGCGCGAAACGCAACTTCTTATTAGATTCAAAACGTATTATCTCTCAAAAATATCAATTATTATTGTAAGTAACTAAGTAAGTTATTAGTCAAATCGCTTTCGTAAGTAAAGATATTTTATTCATTAAGCCGTGGCGGTGTTAGTGAATGAAGTTACTACTTATTGGATTATTTACTTAACATTTTTTGTAATTTTGAATTAAATGTAAAAACAACGTAATCAATAAAGTATTAAGTTCGTTCACTTGTTTCAGTTAAACATTTAGTTAATGTTTTTTCGTGAAAAATATCGAATTGTAGCTAAATTTCATGTTCAAAGATGTTCATGCAGAAATATTTATATGTTTCTTTCCTCTTTTTCGTCACTACATTTCTGAACAAGTTCCACATAATAATATTTGTCTTAAATACACAGCAGAAAATATTAGGCTTAGGTCTTTCGGCCATTGGAAAATAACCGTTTCTGTGTGTACTGCTGTAAGGTGCATTACACGTGCTTATTTCACATGAAAATGTGGGAACCCATCTTTTATACTTATATATTATTGCATTGCTATTTATTTACATCTCTAAAGGAAAAAGCATCGTGATGTTTTCAAGTAGAACATCAGGACTTGAATTTTTCCAAAAAAATGATATTATAACTTATAAGCCAGCGAATTATGAAGCAATCATTAGTCACATGAGTCTGTTATTAATTGTTAATTAAGAAATGTACTGTTGTTGTTTGTTTGTTTGTTTTGGAATTTCGCGCAAAGCTACACGATCGTTATCTGCGCTAGCCGTCCCTAATTTAGCAGTGTAAGACTAGAGGGAAGGCAGCTAGTCATCACCACCCACCGCTAACTCTTGGGCTACTCTTTTACCAACGAATAGTGGGATTGACCGTCACATTATAACGCCCCCACGGCTGAAAGGGCGAGCATGTTTGATGGGATGCGGATTCGAGCCCGCGACCCTCAGATTGTGAGTCGAGCGCCTTATCCACCTGGCCATGCCGGGCACTACTGTTGTTGCTTTGTATGCACTGTTGGTAATCATTATAGTACAAATTACGGAAAACACTTTTTTTTTACTATCTAGTCACTGCTTGTTATATCTAGGGCACAGACTGCAGAAATCTGACTACATTCTGATCTTGAAACATTTCCATCAGAGGAAAAAACCTACCAATAGGAGGTTCATAAATATATATATATATATATATATTGTTTTCTTAGTGGATAAGTCAATGAAGAGCTACAAGCAAGTTATGGTCACTCTTAATAATGTCATACAAATTAAAATGCTAAAAATCTTCTGGGCTTCAGGTAGCTGAATTCTAATTATCTCGATCAAATTTAAGAGCGATTATACATTGTCGATTGACATGGAATGTTGGAATTTCCTTTTAACCTAGTTCATTAGTAAGCCTTTTTCCATTCCAAACAGAAACGATGATTCAACACTTGTTGAAATAAAATGTATATAATTATAAAATTCTCAGTTACGGTATAGTTCCACTTAATAATTTATGACAAGTTACATCAAAGCTGCCACACAACAAACAGTTACAAATAAGAGAATGAATGTAGGTACCCTAATTTAGTATAAAATTCGTCTTAAACTTCCCGGTGCTGAATTTTTCAATTGTAAAGATAAAGTTTTATGTAACCATTCTTTACTTATTTTTTTTGTATTTAATGATTTACGACTAGCTGTGTAGTATTTTGCTTGTTATATTCTGTAAATAGATACTAATTATTCGTGAAGTTATAATGCATGACATTTATATCTGTTCAGGGAAGAGAGTATAACTTTCAAAAACAGTGGAGAGTGTTATACCCCCCCATCAATGTTAGAAGACGAAAGATGCCCGGACCTTATTCCAGGTATGTTCTCAGGTTTATATTAAACCCCTAATTTGTCAGGTTTGAAACAAGTAAACTAGAACTTTAAGGAGAAAGACACTTTAATTTGGAATGAGTTTTACTTAAATGGAAACTTGGAGAATTAGTCTTCAACTCAAAATGAATAAAATAAAGTTTCTGTTTAACAATTTATTAAATTTTCAACTAATCGTTTACTACAAAATGAATTCAAGCTCTGCATGAATACGAAGATCATTTATATCATAAAATACATCAGATAAGAGTTTATAATTACACTAGAGTTAAGTGAAATGAAAACTAGTTTGGTGTAACAATGTGTCCAAAATTTGATATTTAATCTTTGAAATTCACTCATATTTTGAGTTGCATTTTATTGATACATGGTTTAACAGAATGATTCCAACTTTCATTGGCGGGCATAAAATTCAGAAATAGAAAGGCGTAGCGAAAAAATTGTTAGTGGTATGGAATGAGAGATTGTAGGCCTTCCCTCGGACACTATCGTTTAGGTCATTCAGCATCATATCTTCAGGAAAAGTTTATTAATACGCATCCTACATCTAAAATACCACTAGCAAAACTGAAGGCAATGATAAATTAAATGTTTTAAACCTAAACATATGAACGTCTCTCCTCAAGAATAACATTTATAAGTATATGGAGTTTTGCCATAGAAGATCGAAATCCAATCGTTACAAAGATTGTTACATAAACCTAGGTGTGAGGAGCAAGGCCAAAACTTTAAATAAGTAGGTCGTTATACTTTTGAAAAGTCCAAAATGTTATAAAATTTATAAAAATATAAAAAGCCTATACATAAGGTAATACATAAGCATTGTGTCTCAACTGCTCCCCAATTATCGAAATAATGGCACAGTATTCAGTACAATAACAGTTTAACATGGTTTTACTGCATATAGAGAGTCACCAGAATGCTCAGGATACTGCAGGATTGTATGTCAGTCGATTTACAAATGAACACCATCCTCCCATCAGATGACATGAAAAGTGTGTTTCAGCGGCTGTGTACTACAGACACAATTACGAATGGACGCTATGCGGATAAACTAAAGACAGCAAACAATACTGATAATGAAGCAGCCATATTAACATACGTCACATACGGGCAGCACTATGAACACAGCTATTGATTTTTTGTCACTGTTTCGTAACTCTGTTAAAGGTGTTCGCCTCATTTGCATTTATGCATATAACTGTTGTCGTTGGGTGGTAATTGTGTAATTATTAGTTTTTAAATTTGTTCGTATAAGTTTTTCTACATTTTTGCAATTGATATTTTTGGTGTATAATACATATGATTAAATGTCTCATAGAACGTGAACTTGAGGTTCACCTTCAATGATTGTCACAGGGTAAGCTCATAAACAACTCGTTCCGTAACTCCAAGAAAGATATTCCTATACCTCTCCATTGCTGAATTATTTACTTGCCGATAGGTTTCGGAATATAATATTTGTAGCTCAGCTTCATATGATTGCACTTCCAAAATTGGTTTCCTCTATTTTATAGATAGTAATGTCTGACTCATATTATTCTATACGAATGCAATATAAAAGTAGTGATGTTGATTTGAGATATTTCTTTGTACAAGAACTTATCAGACTTTTAAAATTCATCTTCTGGCTGCACTTTTTGTAAACATGCAATATTTCTATGAAGTTTTGATGATGTAGCTGCTAAATATTAAATAAAAGACAATCAAGTATTAATCGTTATTGTTCGATCCCCCTTATTTAAGATTCAAACGTTATATACATTTAGGTGGGATTTGCTTAGATTTTATATCTTAAATGTGTATAAGCTAAAACACAAAACATACCAGTCAGTTACATTATGTATCATAGCGTACTTGTTATTTGGTCACATTCTCTAGTGACTAGGGTTCTTTTGATGTTATCATATTTTCATTTAATTCATCGAGAACTTTTTGAGGCTGAATTTTTACTTTCAGAAATACGGAGTACCCTCGAAGGAGAGAGTTGCATTTTCTCAGACACTCTAAGAAAATCTTGCATTCCAAAAGATGCAACTCAAGTACGTTGCATATCCATGAGCGATTCACGTGGTTCTGGTCAGGTAAACGTACAATATAAAATGTTTTATCTGTGATTAGGAGGAAGAAGGTTATCTTTATTAATTAATCAATGTTATTTGGAATACCAGTAGACTGTAATTGTTAAAACGTGTAAGACTTTCTTTATATTTTAAACGACAGTATTGTAATATCTTATCTAAAATGTTGTGGTGTGTAATGAATAACATTTTATTTTAACTTCATAGTTTTTATCTCACACGGGGTTTAATCTTAACTTTATGATCTATTTTGATAGGACATTAAGACAGAGACAACTATCGTTGCTGATATTTGTTGTGAAAAAGAAAATTTTGTACTGATATTACTACCCATATAATGTTGAGTGAATTGATTCAAAGGCATTTCAATCGTGTGATGTTTATGTATCATATTTACATAAATTACGTTTGTAACAAGCAATAGAAGCTGAATTAAAATCTAAAAATCACAATCTTAAATAAAGGATGGCAAACATAATTTATATGTTATTTAAGATTTTTAAATCATTAGATATAAAATAAACGAAATACAAAATGTGAAACTGAATGAACTATTTACATATATTTAAATCGAATGCTTTCGAGAGAAGTATTTTGTTTTCCAAAAACCAAGCCTAAGGTACTTAACATTTTACATTAGAACTACTCCTTATTGTTCACCTTAATATCTACATCTTCAAACATATTAGCACTAATTATACATTGTATATGACATGCTCAAATTCGTATTCGAAACGACTCGTTATTCATTTGTCGATTCACTTACCCTTTGAAAACCAAATGAGACGTCAAAAACTAATTCCGTATTTCATTCAGTCATCTTAATATTTAGTAATGTTTACAGATAAACTTCATCTATCCATCAACCCTTCCTTCCCTCGAGGAACGAAAGCGACCATCTCTTGACAGTTGCGCTCTTCAGATAGCTACGTGTACTGTCCATGGTCTGTCGCAAGAAAGCGAATTAGGGGTAAAAGTGCTACCGTCATCGCCGTTCCTCAGGCGAGTGATTCAGGGAGAAGTAACTGAATTAGCTATTTCTGAAGAGCGTAATACGGAGGTCTGATAATGGAGGCCAGGTATTTATTCATTCCTTATTGCTTTAGATAATGAATTAGTCTAAGGACTTGTTTTAGTTTCACGATAAGTTGAGGTGTTTCAAATTATGGAATGACGCTGAATTTACTGGTACCACACATATCTGAATGAGCTGTGGTATCTGACTTCAAAACTTTATTTCATGACGTTATTATTCAGTTTAATAGTTGATACAGTAATTTCAACCGAGTAACACTAATCTACAGCTCAACTGGTATGCAATGATGAGAGAAATGTTAGCTAAATTACTAGGATATTCAAAGTCAACCGCTCCATGCTTCAACGATTTGGAATTCGTGAATTATCAGATTTAGTATGACTGATGTGCTTAGAAATGGTGGAATTCGTGTGTTATCAAATCTAATATGACTGATGTGCTTAGAAATGGTGGAATTCGTGAATTATCAGATTTAGTATGACTGATGTGCTTAGAAATAGTGGAATTCGTGTGTTATCAAATCTAATATGACTGGCGTGTCTATTGGTAGTGGGATTTGTGTATTTTCAAAATTAGTATGACTGATGTGTCTAGAGGTAGTGGAATTCGTGTGTTATTAATGCTAATATGACTGATCTGTCTAGAGGTAGTGGAATTCGTGTGCTATTAACACTGATATGACTAACATCTATAGAGCTATTGGGATTCGTGAAGTATCAATACTAATATCAGTGACGTGTCTATAGATAGTGGGCTTTGTGTATTATCAGATATAATATAACTGATGACTATAGTGGGATTTGTGTATTATCAAATTTCGCATGACTGGTGTATTTAGAAATATTGTAACCCATGTTTAACCAAATATAGTATGACTGATGTGTCTAGAGATAGTGGGATTCATGTGTTATCAAATCTAATCTAATTGACGTGTTTATAGATAATGGGATTCGTGTGTTATCAAACCTAATCTAATTGACGTGTTTATAAATAGTGGGATTCGTGTGTTATCAAATCTAACTAATTGACGTGTTTATAGATAGTGGGATTCGTGTGTAATCAAGATGTATAGTTGTTTTCCTTGGATACAATATACACAATTGTTTCAACTGTTTTAATAAAATACCATTAAAATTCATATGATTATAAAAATTGTATGCTTTCTTTAACACTCAGTTAAAAGTCTTATATATAAGATACACTTACTTTTCTTCATAATTTCTGTTGTATAAATATTCTGAGTTGATTTTTTGTGAAAACATTTTATTTTAATATCCACCCTATCAGAAAAGTTCGTTTAAATGGAAAACGTTTATATTTGCTTTAATGCTTTATAACAACGATTACTGTGCACGACACAATACACAATAAAAACGATTACTGTGCACCATACAATAAAAACGATTACTGTGCACCATACAATAAAACGATTACTGTGCACGACACAATAAAAACGATTACTGTGCACGACACAATACACCAGTGAAGGGCAAGGGTGGTTCTCGCTTCTTCTGAAATAGTGCCACTTCTATTATGTCAACAC